CCCCCCAGACTGCCACTGGGAAACACCACGTACCGGGCACTCACATGCTGTGGCTTGGGCTCCCGCAGGTTCTCTTTGCTGTGCCAGATGCCATAACCGAAATATACAAGTAAGCCTGGAGCAGGGAGGGAAGCAAGAGAAACAGAGAACCTGTTGTAGAAGAGGTCAGAGGAGTCCTGCGGTGGCTGGTATGCTCCTCTGGATGCAGCCAAGAGAAGTCAGGCATCCTGAGAGAGCAGCACATATCACAGTGCCTGTGGGGGCCCAGTCACTGCCCCATTCCCACCCCAAACCCCTCTCCATGAACCTTTCCATGCTCTTTGTTCACAGGAGCTCAAATTCCATCTCCCCAGGGCAGCCCTTTGATGTGATATCTGCCCTCTCAGTGGGTTAAAACTGAATCGCAGAGGCCATTGCCTCTTCCTGTCCCTCTCCAGGGAGCCAGTTCTTCAGCAAGGTCCTGGAGCAGCCTCCGTCACACATCATTTGAGAGCTCCATGTGCTTAAGGCAGAGGAAAAAGCTTATCTCCTTCTCAACCAGCAGCAGAACTGCCACAAGGAATCACAGCCTGGGCAGCCAGGAGCTTCACCAGCTCAGGTAGTGATTGGAGACGATCAAACGCACTCAGAAGACTTACAGAGGAAGAAGTCAGTTTTCCAGGTAAATACAACCCTGAGAGCCCGATCCCAACTGCACTCAAGGTGCTAGACCCAGTGCTAGAGAACAAAAATCAAAGACATGGGATCAAATGTAATGTGGTGCCTGAAGGTAGATTGTGCCGGGCTAATCTGACAGCCTTCCTTGATGACATGCTCTGCCATGAACAGAGGAAAGAGGGACTTCCTCGGTCTAGATTCCAGCAATGTTTCCACAAAGGCCCAAGAGAAACTGAACTGGAAAGGATGAGGATGAGGCAAATGGGGAAGCATGTACCCAGAGGGAAGAGGACCATAGCAGTCCTTAGAGAGAGAAGGGGCAGGGGAGACTCCAAGGGGAGCACCTCAAAGAACTGTTGTGGCACAAAACCTGGGAACGTGCTCATGGGTTGAAGTCTTGTCAGTGCAGGAGAGGATGAGGAAACTATATGGGAAGAACCAAAGGGCCTCAAAGGCTGGAATCAAAAAGGGATGATGCAGGACTGTGTCACACATCTCAGGGGTAATACTGAAGATTTCTACTGGCTGGTAGGGGCTGGATGTGATGAGGGAAGCTTAAAACCAGCTGACTGAAGGAAGGAAATCTTCCAGTGGGTTACAGCAAAGAGAGGCAAACAGTCCCTAGCTACATCAGAAGCACCTTGCATGGAGAGAGGGAGCTCTGAATGACTTTATGAGCACTGGCAAACCGCCTCTGGGATAAGATGCAGCTCTGTTCCAGTGCTTTTATGAAAGAGGACCCAAACTGAAACAGGAACAAAGATGTAACACAGTCAGGGGAACCAAGGAGTGTCAGGGAGATCCCAAAAGACCTTGGTTTCTGACTTTGAATGTAAACTGAAGGCAGAGAGGGCATATGATGCACTTATAAACTTCATAAACAGTGGAGAAAAGAGCTGTTGAAGCCACCAGACACTGCTGGCATAAGAACTGATCGAGTATGCACACACCTGAGCTGAGAGGGGACAGATCCCTGCTGACCCTCTTTTCCTGCTCTCTGCTTGCTCTGACCATGTTCTCCAGAGCTCCCCATGTTAGCTCGCACTGGACATTTCACTCTCTCCTCCTTTAAAGAGACACTGATTTCCCGGGAGTTTATACCCCTGTAGAAATACTCACCTATGATCAGCCAGATAGCAAACCGGAGCCATGTCATATAGCTGAGCTTCAGCATGAGATATATATTCAGGACAATACTCAGTGCGGGGGACAGGGGCACCAGGGGTATCTGCAAGTAAAATAGAGGAAGTGATGAGAGAGAGACCTGCCCCACAGCAGCCAGCAGCAGCTCCCACATACATTAGACACAGCTGTGGGCAACCACTCTGGAAGACAATGTTACTTATCCTTAAAATTGCAGAGACAAAACCTAGCAGTCGTACATACTAAGGACAAAGTGACCTGAACCCGTTATCTGGGCTTTCTGAAAATGGTCCAAGACAGCCAAAAGGAACAACAGGACAAGTGTCAAGCCAACAGGGTGGACATGGGGCACTGGGGAGCACAGACTCCAGAAACAGCTGGGGTTAACAGTGGCAAGGACCAAACAAGCTCCAAGCGCAAAAATGATTTAGAGGCCAAAGAAAAGAGTTCAGTCATGTAGTTCACTGAGGGAAAGCTGAAGGCTGAAATAGTGGGGACAGGCAGAAGGAAAGCTTGTAGCTGCTTCCTCCCACCAAGCTGTCCTTAACAGGGCCTGTCTGATGTGGAGGAGGGAAGACCAGGGAAGGCAGGACTGTGACCCTCAAATGCAAAACATGTTGCTTCCTGAGGGACAGGATAGGATGGGGTCCTGACCTGCTGTGAGGCATTAGGAAATGCTGAGAGTGCAGCCTGGGGCGCTTGGGGACATCTGCTCCTAGGATGTGGCTGCTACCACCACAGGGTTTGAAGGACCCATTAGCCCAACACCTGCCAGGGATGGTCTCAGTGGAGAGGATCACGCCCTGGGTCAGGGGACAGGACCTCTTCAGGTCTTCTCCAGCACCACCTTCCTGACGTCTCAACCCAGGATCATGTCTGTCCTCCTAGCCACAGCACAGCACCACAGCATATATCCCACTAGCTTTGCCCACTACACTGAGTTCCTCTCAGAGTCACTGCTCCGCCTTGCCCAACCCTAACTGGTCCTTAGCCCTCTGTCCCTGGCATCCAGCTGCACACAGCTATAAGCTGCTCATCAATACCTCCCCACGCTCAGTGCTCACTAACGCTCTCCTCCTTTTCGTCTCTTCTTCAGTTATTGCAGTGATTTTACCCAATGGTGACTGAGGCCTCCTGTGGGTCCAT